GTGTGTGTGTGTGTGTGTGTGTGTGTGTGTGTGTGTGTGTGTGTGTGTATGTAGGGTATTACAGCCGAAGGTCAGAAGTTGGGGCCTAGAGTCAAAACAGTGGTGACCAGCAGAGGGTATGACGCCAACAGACTCATGTGGTCAGCTTTGGGGGACAGTCAGTAAGCCTGGATTCTGGAGGATCCTTCCATGTGTTCAAGTACAAAAAAATAAAATAAAATAAAGTCAAGTTGGGAGGGAGCAGAGAGTGGCAAAGGCTGAGAACACAAAGCCCTCAGAAGCCCAGTGATTATCCTTGGTTCTCACAGCTAATGTCTCAGTCTGTCATCGAAAGGTGGCTTCCACATCCATTCTCAGGCACTCCACAGATTCCACTTTAGAGGAGAGGAAGCCAAGGGCCTGAGACATTGGTCTCCATTTGGTTGGTCAACAAAAGCAGAAAACCACTGAGCAAAGAGCATCAGGGCAGCACACACTTGCTGAGTGCCTGCTACATAGCCCGTCCCTGTCCCGAAGAAGCTGGCGTCCAGACGAGCAGCAGTCGCAGGAGAGAAAACCCACACTGAGCAGGCAGTGGGCTAGAATTCAAGAATGGGCAAAGATCCGCTGTAACCAAGGTTACCTGAACCTGGCCACAGCCTTTATGTGGGATCCAGGTGGAGAGCCTGGGTCCTGGAATTAGGGTTAGACAGACATTTGATGCTGCTCCAAAGCTTGATGAAGCCCAGGGCTGGCTACCTCTACTTCCTGCTCCTACAGGGTTACTTGGGGCTGAGGTAGCTCAGAGAAGCCAGAGTTGTGGCGTTCCTGGGTCCTTCACTTGGCACACGCCTGGAGACAGTGGAAATGGCATGGTCTGTGTGCCTGTGGGTGGGGGTCAAGGACAGAGTGGGTAGGTGATACTGGGAAGAGCGGCTTTTGAACATGAAGCTGGGAGCTTTGGCAGCGCAGTCGGGGTGTAACTCCAGGGGAACCCTCATTTCCATTTCCCTGCGGGGAATGTTTATTGCCTTTTCCTAAGTGTGTACGTTAGCCTGTATCTAAGAGCAGAGAGCTGCATCCCCATTAGGTTGGATTCACACAGCTCCTTCCTGGAGGCTGTTCATGTAGAACAGAGTGTTAATACTCCAGTTCCAGAGGACCTGACACCCTCTTCTGGCCTCCTCAGGGCTCCTGCATACACATGAGGCACACAAAACTCACTCAATGAAACGTGTACATATGAAATAAAATCAATCTTTAAAGAATGGTCTCCTACCACTTCCTAAATATAACACCAGTAGCACAGACACTGAGAGCAACAATTAATAAATGGGACCTCTTGAAACTGAGAAGCTTTTGTAGGGCAAAAGACATGGTCAATAAGACAAAAAGACAGCCTACAGAATGGGATGTCTTAAAATCCCATTATATACCAGGGACCCAGAGACCTTTGCAGTGCCACTTAAGGTCCTGGAGGGTTTTATTATGCTAGACTCTTGTTTAATGTATGCTTGGGACTCTCTGCACTTCTCAGAGATGGCAGGATTGATTGATTGTGTCCAGAGGCCAATATATTTTCCTAGAATTAAGTCTTTCTCTAATTCTTAGAAGATATAAAT